ATATGTATATATATATATATATGTATACACATATATGTATGTGTATTTTAAATCTAACTCTAATTAATTCAAGGTTATGGATAAATTCATTATTTTCCGCGCATTACTCGCGCGCAGACAAACCGCGGCAGGTTGGATCGCAGACGATATGAATTCTGCAGAGCACCCGTGGGAGCTCTCTCGCGTTTTGAGAGAGAGAGAGAAAATATCCTTTCAAATTGCCTGTGCTCCACGCATTTCCATTAATAAACAAAATGCACGTTGGAAGGGAGGAAAAGCAGTGGCGCAGCTTCGGCGAAAAGGGAATGAGAGGAGGTGGGGGGAAGAGGAGAGGAAGGGTGGGAAGAGGGGGCGCGTGAGAGGGGAAGGGGACAGGAAGAGGAGGCGAGGGATTGTGGGGCGATGCTCCGTCAGACGATTGAGTATGCATAGTACACAAACAAAGCAAAAGCTTTGGATACTCCAGGGGAGATGCACACAAATGCGCAATCGGGTGCTGGGGTCTGCGTGTGCGCGGGTGTATTGCCGATACCGGGCACGTATAAGTGTACTTAACCGTGGCGCTTTTATTTCCTCTCTTTATTTCCCGCGGTTTTCAATTTACGTTATTTATTGCCCTCCACGACCGTCCCAGTCGTCCCGCCGCGTCGGCGTCCCACCGTGATTTTGTGAAAGCACCCCAAACCCTCTGCCTCCGTCAACATACTCACACACAACTGCATGCACGCGCGGGATATATATACGTATATACGTATGTGCATCAAACGCGCGTGCTTTCTAGAACCAACACCATCAGGCATAGCGCGCGCCCCCGTATACGCGATATCCTTTTTTACCTGCGGTACGACGAGCCTGTACGAGGGTCAACGTCATGAAGCCTTTTAAAAACGCTTCGTGCACGTCATAAAAATCTAACCGCACCCGTCGCGCACAGAGAAGCGAACGCATTTTACGCGTTGTACCTTCGAGGAAAAGCCAATCGAGGCAAGGAGGAAACTTAATATGTAACAGAGAGAAGAGGTAAATAAATTAATCAATAAAAAAGAAATAAGAGAAATTATATATATATAAAGAAATTAAACAAAAAAAAGATTCAATTTGGTCTAAATTATTGTGAATTTTTAATTGTTTGTTTATCGGTGGCATTTTATCGCACAAGATTAAATATCTCGGATGAAGAGTTTAATATATCTATTTTTTTCATTTATTTATTTATACAAAATTATATTCATCACACAATTCTAAAAACTGAGTGCAAACGGGTCATCTTTTATTTTTTGATATCAATCGAATCAATACTCGTAAGTCATAATTATAGCAGAACATGTTCAATTCTGATACTTAATCGTTGTCGAACCTTATTTTAATGCAATCAGTAAGCTATAGAACGTAATCTGCGGTTAAATTTTAAAGAACAAAAGCTCTGAAAATTTATACGGCCCTCGTTCCTTGCGGATTTTTATCAAACGAATAAATTTTTAAATCCAATTCATCGTCATTATCATCATCGAAAACTTTCTTGATGTTTTACGTTTCTCGTTACTTCATTATACATTTACCAGATATACTTAAAGTCCCGCGAATATATGCATTTCTCGCGCAAAGGCGCCACTGTATAATTGAAACCAAGCGTACAGTAGAAAGAAATATAAATGCATATTCATGCAACGTGTTGCATGCACCTCGAGTTGAGAGCGTGAGAGCAAACGACACCATGAGAACCACTACGTAAAGGACGTTGTAGGAAATTCTACTCATCTCGAGCGTCTCTTGGCACATATACAATCTAGCTCAGTGCAATGAGTTTAGGTACAAACGGCCCGAGATATATATACGTATATATGTCTACTTCCAGAAGAGTTGACATAGTAGGAAGTAGATACAAAAGTCGCATGAGAGATAAAGAAAGAGAGAGAGAGAGAGAGAGAGAGAGAGAAAAGAGAAGGAAAAAAGAAGGGAGAAGAGAGAGAGAGGGTAGGTAGAGAGGGAGGCAAGACGAAATGAGAGATGACAGAAGAGACCCCGAAATTCTACATCCACGGTGTTTCGCGACCCTTCAACGGGATTTAGAGTAATTATAGCTTTGTTTATTATTGTTAGGCGAGTTGCGCATTGTATAGGAGCTCTCAAACCAACGCGAATTAATCTTTGCTAAGTGGAGCCGATGTGGAACTGGCATTCCCATTTCTCTTCCCTTGCGCCATTCTGCGAGATCCGCGGATGAAAGGTAGCTTCAGAAGAGCCTCGCTCTCTCACCTTCCCCGTCCTGCCTTGCGAACTCCATACTTCTATCATTATCCTATCCTGCCTCCCTTAACTAGCATCTTTCATTAAAGGAAGCCGTCACCATTGTGCCCCAACTTGTACGACTCGATAGACAATGCGACTTTGTCGGACTGCCGCAGATACCGTTCGCGCCGCCGCTTGCTCTTGGATCCCTCCCACGAAATTTCCAGATCTCTAAGTGCTAATTCGCGAGGAAGAGAATATATCCAACAGACGCTATCGTAACGAAGCACCTGGAGCTCTGGAGTCACCGAAAGAAAATGTTAGGCTGGTACTACTATGTTTCGCAATGAACAAGTAACCACGCAATGCGACAAAGTTAAAAGTTTGATGTTGTCACGCGTTTTTGTAAATTCATTAATTCGTAAAGAGATGTAAATTATTTAAAATTTTTTTGTCCAAAAATAAAGGAAAGAATAATTTATAAAATAAAATTAAACAAAGTGTTACGACACTATATAATAATCGTAGTAGTAAACTTGATGTATACATATTTGGGAAAAATGTTCATTTTTCTTAAGCTTAAAGTGTAATATACATTTTTGATACTTGATGCTTTTACTTTTCTAATATTCATTTGTTTTCTTATGT